AAATAGAAGTTTAATGGGGAAAAATGTGTTCCATCGATGTAGGAAAAAATGGATCCTAGGGGTACAACGTTTTACCTCAGAGCCATTCTTTCTGTAATCATCCTAGAGACAACGTCGAATGAATCTCGACTCAAATAAATGTGAATAAATCTTGTCGATTTCTTAATTATTTCACGCCCACGTTTGTACTTAACTCTCGCGCCAATCCTTACTCTGGTTATTAACCAGAATTTAATCTTACAGGAGAAAAGAAACAAATAATGTTCATTAAATGATTCAATTAATGAACCATGTTCTGAGTAAGATTACAACTTCCTGCAATCAATAAATTTTTTAACACGCTGTCTATACATTCTTTACTTACGTCACCCTCTTCATTATCAGTCACGCGTTGTCACACGGTCTTACGTTAAATCGAGTGCGAGTTTATATGAAACGAATTCATCCGCTGTGTTCGAGATAAGAGCACTACTCAAAGAAGTGATATGCCCAAGATTATTAAATGACACGATAGCCCAGCTACATATGTACATACGTAGATATGTACGTGCATAGTTAAGTGTTTACGGACATAAGTATGCATGTAAAAGAGATGTTCACAGCGTTTTTAGTGCAGCCTTTCCTGCACAGAGGAATACCGAGATAAGGAAGCTCGATGTCGAGATAAGAGAAACGTTTCTTGTGTACATACAACGTGATATAAATACTCCCACGCATGCAAGGAATTACATAGTCTAGACTTCAACGCGATGCTCCAATTTCCTTTTCGTGCCAGTTAATATAGAGCGAATTCCAAATTCATTAGCACCCTAATCATGAAATATAAAACAGACTGTTTTGATAACGGCGTCTTAAAAATGCGATAAATGACGATAAACATAAAAGAAAAAAATCACTGTATCTTCGATCTTGTTCAATCCTGATAGGCTCACAGTAATTCTTCTACAAACATTCATTCTTCAGGAATCAAATTCATTCTTAAAAATGTTTTAAGTATAAATAAACAAAATACTGAGACAGGTGTTTCGAGAACTACTAAAGTTCAGATAAGATTGATACCTATATTATTTATAAAAAATATACGTGCTTGCGTAGTCGGTACGTGAGGTGAACAATGTTCGCTGTTTAATCGGCCGCCAGTGATAAAGTGTATCACTGCTACGTGCCTGCCCAAGTAATTGTTAACTATATCTGGATCGTATCAATATTTCCTCAAGATAGCGAGAAAAACAGATTGCCTTCCGTTCGAGGAGCGTATTGAAGCTTCGGACGATGGTAGCGAATTTGTGATAAACCGACCAAACCCGGAGTCGGGAAATAGAGAAGGAAAAAGAAAACGATTGTTGTGGAACACCGGCGACCGTGTCCCATTCAGATAAGTAATGCGGAACGCAGGGTGCAATAAGCACGCACGTGCGCGGGAATCGAAAGTAGAACAAACGAATTCCATGTAACACTGATAGACTCTTTCATTTATTATTTAAACCATCATGAATACAATTACATAATACAGAAGCCGTTTACTTTGAAGGTGGCCTAAGTCCATTTATTTTTAAATCGAGATATGTAACGGTTTGCGTTTTAATAAATTTAAAAATATGATAACGTGGTAGT